GTGCGCGCGTACCATCAGATTCCCGTCGCACGCGACGACATTGCTAAAACTGCCGTAACAACACCCTTTGGGCTTTATGAATTTCCGGTAATGTGTTTCGGGTTGAAAAACGCCGCTCAAACCTTCCAGCGTTTCGTCAATGACATTCTCCGCGGTTTAGATTTCGTGTTCGCATACATAGACGACGTTTTAATCGCGTCACAGTCCGAGTCCGAGCACGAAATGCATTTGCGATCTGTACTTGAGCGTTTTCAGAAGTTCGGCGTCGCAATTAACGTCAGCAAATGCGTACTAGGTGTAACACAGCTAGTTTTTCTCGGACATCTCGTCAACTGCGACGGCTGTAGCCCGCTACCCGAGCGAATCGATCAGATACGAAACTGGCCACTTCCGGTTTCTAAAAAAGCACTGCAACGTTTCCTTGGTTCTGTCAACTACTACCACAGGTTTATACCAAACGCGGCACAACTGCAGTCTCCGTTATTCGAGCTCGCTTCGTCGGTCAAGCAGAAGGACGGCCAATTGTGTTGGTCACCAGAAACGCGACTCGCTTTCGACAAGTCCCGCAACGCTCTCGCGGACACGTTATTCCTTTGTCACCCGAGCACGGACGCTGAACTCCGATTGTGCACAGACGCATCGAATACAGCCATAGGCGCAGTTCTCGAGCAGTTCATCGATGACACCTGGAAACCACTCGGGTTTTTCTCTAGAAAGCTCACGTCCGCTCAAGCCCGTTACAGCACTTTCGACCGGGAATTGCTCGCCGCCTATTTAGCTACGCGTCATTTTCTTCACCTCATCGAGGGCCGACACATCGTACTTCTGACCGATCACAAGCCACTAACGCACATGTTTTCTGTAAAGACAGACAAATACAGCGACAGACAACTACGGCACATCAGCTTCATCGCACAATTCGTCCAACAAATTGAACATATTCACGGGGACAAGAACGTCGTCCCGGACGCGCTCTCCCGACTCGAAACCGTCACGCTGCACGCGCAGCTCCCGGATTGTAATACATTGTCAAAGGACCAAGCCGAAGATCCGCAGCTTCAACAAATTCTCGACGGTACGTTAGTCACTTCTCTAAAACTCGTAGCGCACGACACAGCTTCGGGTCCCGTATTCCTCGACACGTCAGTACCCGGCAGATCGCGCACTTACGTTCCCGCAACGCTTCGTCGACGCGTTTTCGACATTTTACACGGACAGGCGCACCCCGGCACCAGAGCCACGCTCGCTCTCGTCAAAGAAAGGCATTGTTGGCCTGATATGGATCGACAAATTCGGAAGTGGGCAAGTCACTGCGTTGCTTGTCAGCGCGTCAAAGTAAACCGGCACGTAAGTTCGCCATTGTCACCTTTCGCGCCACCCGACCGACGTTTCGGGCACATTCACGTTGACCTGGTCGGGCCGTTACCCATGTCCGAAGGTTGCGAATACCTTTTTACAGTCGTCGATAGATTTACGCGTTGGCCCGAGGCGTATCCACTCGCCAACATGACGTCACACGCCGTCGCCGACAAATTAGTTACACAATGGATCGCGCGTTTCGGAGTTCCGGACATAGTCACGACGGACCAAGGTAGGCAATTTGAGTCCGAACTATTTTCCGCACTCAGTCAAACTTACGGTTTTCGACACATTCGTACCTCGCCTTATCACCCGCAGGCCAACGGTTTAGTCGAACGCCTCCATCGACCACTTAAAGCCGCTCTGACCGCTCAAAACAACTCGCAGTGGACCAAGACTTTACCAACCGTGTTATTGGCACTCCGCAGCATTGTCAAGCCGGACCTGGGTTTTTCGCCGGCAGAAATGGTCTACGGTACGACCTTGCGTTTACCCGGTGAGTTTTTCCACGCCGTCCAGCCCGAGCCTCGAGTCCCAGACCTGGTACGCACGCTCAAGGATTCAATGTCGTTACTCCGACCAACTTCCGGCACAGATCATTCTAATCGTACGATTTTCGTACCCGAAAATATGTCAGCCACGTCGCACGTCTTCCTTCGCGTCGACGCCACGAGAAAGCCTCTTCAGCCGCGTTACGACGGGCCTTTCGCCGTCATAGAGCGCAACGACAAAAACTTTAAACTACAACTCCACAATCGCACAAGCTGGATCTCGATTGATCGGCTGAAGCCGGCACTCCTCCTTCGCGAAGACCCAGTCGCCGACCATACGTACGCTGCGGCTCCAGTCGAGCAGATCAGCACTTCCGACCCCGTCTCCAATCAACGTCAGCGACAGCAGAAACGAGTTCGTTTCTCTCTACCAAGGGGGAGGTAGTGTGGGGACCCCCACAACGCCCATCAAGGCGATCCCCGCGCTCGTCGTGGCGCACAAAAGCAGCGGTCGTTCGCCGACCGCCTACCAGTCCGTTTTCCCGCGTCTACGCTCGCACATGTCAACGCTGCTAAATTTTGTTATTTAATTGTTTAACCAAACACGTGTAAATATTTTATGTAATAAAATTATTTCGTAAACATTTTATTCTCGTCTCGTAGTTCGTTGAAGGTAACCTTTTCCCTGTTGTGGCCTATCATCACTGGTGATAGGGGGAAAATCTCTGCAGTGCAGTAACCAAAAGCCACAGTTCCATAGATGACTATCTCGTTTCCAGTCCTGTTTATCTTAGTCCGTGTGTTGGACACAGCAAATGATTAAAGTAGCTCCATCCATTGTATATGATCTAAGATAACAATAATAACATAATAATAACAACACAGTGATGACTGATAACAACTTACAAACAAATTATGTTAAGAGGACGCCACACCCGCATGTGTTGTCACCGTCTTACAAACGCGTAACATAGCAAATTACGTCCACGGAAAACAAACGAATCGGCATCAAAAAGTGGTTTTAGAGTAAAAATACCTATAATAAAACTTAAAGAGAACAATATTTCGGAGGGAACCTCATCGGGGTTTTGTATTAATCTAAATACACAGCTAGATATTGAAGGCACAAAAACTCATTTTTTTAAATAACCACAACTTTTTTAATAGTTAATATTTTTAAAAACGCCGATGAGGTTCCCTCCAAAATATTGTTCTCTTTAAGTTTTATTATAGGTATTTTTACTCTAAAACCACTTTTTGATGCCGATTCGTTTGTTTTCCGTGGACGTAATTTGCTATGTTACGCGTTTGTAAGACGGAGACAACACATGCGGGTGTGGCGTCCTCCCAAAGTCTTAGATCATATACATGTGTATAATGTATATGATCTAAGGACTAAGACCACGGACTATATAAGAAATACTAAGATATATTAGTCCGTGACTGAGACCAAAGTACTCTCATTGTTCTGTGGTCGTAACATAGCACTCTTATCATTGAGGATTGAGTATACTTCAGCATTCTTTATACCTGTCTTATATAGACATATAGTTATACACAACCGTGATTTAAACTATGGGACATTGGGACGTGTAAATAGCGACTGGCGACTGCCTTTTTTTTTTTTTATTATGACTTGTCAGTGTGTTGCACACACAGACTTCTATTATACTACTGCACCATAAGTAACTAATGGGCGACGACCACGGACTAAGATATAATGGACTGGAAACGAGCAGCTTATCAGTGGCCTCGAAAGTATGTACAAGAAGCAAATGCGGGGGTCGCAACCATAATCCAGAGTTTACAGCGCCATCTGTATAAAACACGGACTGAGATACAAAATATGACGCTAAATAAAACCCTTAGATCATATACTATGGATGGAGCCACTGCATATTATTTTGAAGCCGATATTAGCGACGAGTCACCGAATTAGGTGATCGATATGCGCATGCGCGAAACAACTCGTTTAATATTAATATTATAACTGTCCCCATCCCAGCCGAGTCACCGAATTAGGTGTTCGATATGCGCATGTGCAACGCAACCTCTCGCATATTTATCAGCTGGTGATTATAATATTAATATTAAACGAGTTGTTTCGCGCATGCGCATATCGATCACCTAATTCGGTGACTCGTCGCTAATATCGGCTTCAACTTTTTGTATTGCTATAATACGCAGTGGCTCCATCCATAGTATATGATCTAAGATAAAACCACTGGTAGCGCTGAAAACTTTCGATTATGAGTGTTGATGATAACAGAGGAACCTTTTGCGGGCCGTCCCTCGTCACCCGCCCACCTTGTCGTTTCCAGTCCATTATATCTTAGTCCGTGGCGACGACTGAGCATCAACCATAGATAATAATATATTATCTTTATCCATTATCATAACACTGCCGCATACATTTTTGAATTTTTCGTCAATTTTTCTCGCCGCCTAAATAGTAAATACGGGCCAGTAAGCGATCTATACTATTTTATTATTGACCGTGGTATTTATAATCAATGATGCTGTTTTTAATCACGGTGTATTGTATGTTTAGTGCTACTGTGTTTGTAAACACTACATTACCATGCATAGTAGTTCACAGACATTCATAATATTAAGTCTACATGATCTGCTTTGATACAGAGGACAGAGGTCAAAGATATTAGTCATTTGTTAATTATTTAACTACACTGATATTTTTCATCATTGCATAAATTAGAACAAATTAAAAGCATTGTAATCTATGTATAATTCTTGTATAGTATGCATAATAATTAGTGTTCAGACTAACCTATTAACTATTCAGATAAATTGTTATCAAAATATCGACTTTTGAACTATCAAGGTCTTGTAATTGTTAATTGTTCACTAAAGATACTTAAGTAACCTGTATAATATTATATACACATAAATGTACAATATGTATATCAAATACTTAAGTATATATTAGAACACTTTAAGTTAGTATATTGGCATTAATGATATTTCTTATTAATGCTAAATAGCTTTACATTTACTGTTGAACATCAATCCGCTCTGTTGTAACTTATTAACTTTTAAGGTACTATAGATTATAAACCATTAGAATTAGGTTTTTACATTTGTTTATGAATTAACACGTATTATTATTTTTGTTTTTATTTTCAGTATTAAATGGATTCTGCTTCTGCTGAAAATACAAATCGACTTAAGCCACTCAATGATTTAAGTAAATATAATAATTATTATTTTAACTCTAAATTACCTAATAGTTTTTTTTTTCAAATTGACTTAATAATTATTTAAAATATCTTTAATGTTGATTAAAAATTATTCAAACTAATATACCATTGTTTCAAAACTATCATTATTTGAAAAACTTTCACATTTGTTTTAAATAGTTTTGATATTTAGCAACTCTGCGTTATAGGTAATGAAGATCAACTTTTAATATCTATGTGCACAGTGGCTAGGGAGAGAGCATATGTTCCATATAGCAACTTCAAAGTCGGCGCAGCGTTGCGATGTGATGATGGTACCATATTCTCAGGCTGTAATGTAGAAAATGCCTCATATGGGCTCGCAATATGCGCTGAACAAACAGCTATTGTGAAAGCTGTAAGTGAAGGAAAAACTAAATTCACTACAATTGCAGTTGCAGGATTGAACAATAATCAATTTGTTTCTCCTTGTGGTGCTTGTAGACAAGTATTAAGTGAATTTAATAATCCCAATAATGACATGATTGTTTATTTATACCAACCGGAGGGTAGTAATGTAGTTAAGACAAGTGTGTCTGAACTACTTCCATTGGATTTTAAATTTAATTATTAGCTAATCTATTAACTTTTCTAAATTATGCCTATTATGAGTTAAGGTTTTGACAAATTGTTTAAGATTTTTTTTTTTAATTATGACTACTTTTAAATAAATTTAGACCCAATAACCATTTATATTTTATACCTTCAATTTACTTGTAAAATATCATTCTTTATAAAAATTCAAATAATTATACAAGTACAGTGTTCTTATATTTTTGATCTTATGTATAAAATATATAAATATAGTATTTTATAAATGTATAATATCATAGTTTATTCAAAGTTATATTTATATACTGATTACTTATATAGTTATATATTAAATGATCATACCCAAAGTCCCAAAGTAAAATAAACCAATTTTTAAAAAATGTATAAATTCATTAAAAGTAGTTTTAGTGATTTAAATTTTTTTTTCTTGAATAAAGCTATAGAATAAATATAGTTGTTTATAATAATAATATATATAGGTAGGTGCATAATTAAAATTATGGGTATAAGTTAGTGATGCGTTGAACTGTTTGAATCTTGAACTGAACCGAACCAAACCCTTGATGTTCGGTTCAGCTCGAAATTCGAACTCTGTATGAAAAAAAATTTAAACCAGAGTATCAAACATCTTTCACTGTTTGAAATTCAAAATTCAAATACTTTTTGAACCAGACTTTCTGGCCCCGATAGTTCAAAGACCAATTATTTGTAAAATTCTTCAAAAGTTATTTTAAAAAACTTGTATAATGACTATTTACTATTTAGAAATAATTAGATTATTAGAGACCGCGTACCTACATTATCTAATTGATATTTTTGTTTTTATAATATTTATTGTAACAGGAATAAAGTGAATAAACTATTTTGGATAAACTCTTGGTAATATTCCAATACCACAGATGTGTAGTTGATAAAAAAATTTAAATTTTTAATATTTTTACAATTTACATTCTATATTTCTATAATAGGTAATACAAAAACTCAAAATATAATTGTAATTACTTATGGTTGATTTAATGATTTAATTTGCTCATGTTAAAAAATGTGCAGCTTTCGTGTTCGACTTAAAATGATTCTAGGTTCAGTTTGGTTTGGTAAAAAATATGAACGTTCAGTTCGGTTTCAAAAAAAAAAAATTTAAGTTCAGTCCCATTTAAAAAACCAGGGTTTGAGCCATCATTAGTATAATTACATAACTTTCAACTTTCAAAATTAAATTTATTCATTTAAATTGTGGTCTTTGGAATTTGGCGGCTCAACTGTGCTCTCCCGAAAGAATATAACATTTTTAATATAATTATTTAAGTTTTAAATATTGACAAGCCCCCTGACCTGGTAACGTCATATAGACCAATTAGTCTATTACCATTTTTCTTAAAAGTGATAGAAAAACTTATACTGAATCGCATACTTCCCATAATTAGTGAAAAACATATACTACCTAACTATCAATTTGGTTTTCGCGCACAACATTCAACAATACATTAATCACATAAACTAGTTGACTTGATTTCGTTCACACTTGAAAAAAAATGTATTGTTCTTGTGTATTTCTTGACATTCAACAGGCCTTTGACCGTGTATGGCACGAAGGGCTACTATACAAGGTAAAGACATTTTTGCCTCCAATTTACTATAAGTTACTTAAGTCATATCTAACTGATCGTTATTTTCAAGCCCATTTTAAATTGGCATACTCATAGTAAACATCAGAGCTGGTGTTCCACAGGGGTGCATCCTTTCCCCAATACTGTATAACTTATATGCTTCTGATCAACCAACCTCCGCCAACACCATTGTGGCAGACTATGCGGATGAAAAACTTATCATATCTATAAATGAAAACCCTATTGTAGCATCGCTTAATCTACAAAATCATCTATCCCTTATGGAAACATGGTATAAAAATTGGAGGTTTAAGGTAAACCAAACCAAATCTAATCACACAAATTTTACCCTTAAGCTAGGACACTGTCCGCCAGTCACTCTTTATGTCACTCAAATTCCGTCTACTCCAACAGTAAAATATCTTGGCTTAACCCTTGACCGTAGACTAGCATAGGCCCAACACACACATGTAAGAAGACTTCAACTAAATCTGCGACTTTGTATGCTTAAATCTTTAATAGTCAATAACAAACACACCAACCTTAATATAAAACTACTAATGCCCTTCATACAGACCTGAAAATTAAAACAGCTAAAGAAGAAGCAATCACTTATTATAAAAGATTCCATAATCGACTTACAACTCATTCTAATCCTTTAATTAAAGCTCTTTCAGCAATTTTGTTATTCTGGGTAATCCTCCAAGGCGTTTAAAACGCAACTAGTGTAAAGATATGCTAACTTAATATTATAATTTAAAAAATAAATAAATAAATAAATTCATATATATACATATATATACATAAATTAATGTATAACCTCGATTTTTAAGTGTCATCACTGGGTGGCTGCTTTTATCAAGCCTTTTCATGTGTATATTTATCTCAGCTAATACTCTTATTGTACACATGAGGTACAGATTGTGTGTAAAATAATTAACGAAAAAAAAAAGTTTTAAATATTATATTATTATATATGAATAAAAATTGTTTTAAAATACTGAATATAGATGGTCAACAGTCGCTACTTCACCAGTTAAATAAAACAGGCATGATAGTATATGAAGAACCTCGACCTACCTATATAGTAAAAAGTTAACCTCCGTCTATTAAAACCTTAAATGATGCCACTTACTGTCCATTTAATATTCATATCCCTAGAATTATAAATTTATAATCAAGCTTTGTGTAAAAGCTTTATAATGTATTATTAATTATTATGTTATGTGTATGTTTTAAAACTCTAGTTTGTTTATGGATGCCTATATATTATAATTTATTTTTATAATTATTATTATTACTTGTTCCTAAATCAGAATTTGAATAAAAGAAAAAATGAGTGTGAGGATGCTTGGTTAATTAGTCAGAATTACCCTGTTAATTAAACACACGGACTTATTATACCTTAGTCCGTGATTAAATATTATTAATTATTAATTATTATAGTTGCTACTTGCTAGTGATTAGTGAATCCCGGACAAAAAAAACCAAAGTGACAATATAATCAGAGAATTAGCATAATCACAAATATACAATCATGAACATTAGAGGAAGGACGCCGAACTGTGTATATAAAAGTGGTCCGGAATTATCGCATTCCGCCAGAATGCGCGTCGGACCGTAATGATGTCGTTTTTACATGTACAGCATAGGGAATTTATTGGTTTTTTAACACTTTTCTTAAGTTTGGTTACACGTCTGTCTGTGATCAAATCTTGCGCGCTCGATTTGAGGCACTTTTTGAAGATGAAAAATTCTGAAAATTTGTATAGACCTTGGTCTTGGATGACAATACAATAATCCGTAAAAAAATTTTTTTTAACTAAAAAGTAGAAAATTAAAAATTAAAAAATTATTTTTTAAAAACACACTTTTCTAAAAAAACAAAAAATAATGAAAAATTTAAAAGTGTGTGGCGCTCTTAAACTTGACATATTATACCACACACTTTTAAATTTTTCATTATTTTTTTGTTTTTTTAGAAAAGTGTGTTTTTTAGATTCTGAGTGAAACGATGAATGTATTGATTTTACAATGATGTGTGTTTTTTTTATTTTTTTTTTATTTTTTTTCTTATTTTTTTATTTTTTTTAATTTTTTTATTTTTTTTTGTGTCTGTCATCACGTTTTAGGACAGTAAAAGTGCTTGGATTTTCTTCATCAGTAGCTTTTCTGATAGGAAAGTGAATCTAGTTGGTACTTTGGGGGGTCAAAAGTATAAATTTCCCAGTAGTTTTCACAAGCGCCGGGAAAAACAACATAAAAATTAAGGAAAAACGGGAATTTTTACGCAAAATTGGTTTTCCAAAAAATCGATTTTGGTTTTTGGTGTAACTCTGAAACAAATGAACGTATATACATGAAATTTTCACTGGTTGTTTATATTTGCATTTTCTATACATGATAACATTTTCAAAATATTTTGATTTATTTTGAACTGTTTAGGGACATTTTCATTTTCCATTTTTTTTAGTTTTTTTTCTAAAAATATCAATTAAATTTTATTTGTTAATTAAAAAAGCTTGACAATTTAATAGAAGGCTCCTGTATATTATTTCAAATGCAGCTGAAAAATATTAAAAATCCTTAGTCACATATTTTTTTTATAAGCATTTAAAGTTCAAAAATTGACAAAATATGGGAAAATCACGAAAATTAGCAAATTATTTTGAGTTAAGAATTCGTAAAAATTTTTCTTTTTAAATCTAAGATTTGAAAATTAAACACAAGATTCCTTATAAGTTTGTCTACCTTTATCAAAAGAAAAATGTCTATAAGAAAGTCAAATTAAATTTTTATGAGCGTTTGAAATTCAAATTTTTACAACATTGAATATTCACTCGATTTCCCATGTAGCGATTTCCTTATTTTGTTGTAATTCAAAAACAAATAACTGTAGATACATGAAAATTTCACTGAATGTTTATATTAGCATTTCCTATACACCATACAATTTTGAAAATATTTTGACTCTTTTTGAGCTGTTTACGGACATTTACCGCTTTCAATTTTTTTTAGTTTTTTTTTCTATAAATATCAATAAAGTTTTATCTGTTGAGCCAAAGAGTGTAAAAATTTAATATAAGGCTCCTGATATATTGTTATAATATAAGTTGAAAAATATTAAAAATACATAGGCACAGTTTTTTTTTATAAGCATTTAAAGATCAAATTTTGACAAAATTTATCAAAATCTCGAAAATTATCAATCATTGTAATTAATAAATTATAAAATGTTCAGTTTTTATAGCTAAGGATTGCAAATTCAACACAAAGGTTCTCGTAAATAGTTCATACTGTAACCAAAAAATCTAAAAAATATATGAACACACTTATTTTTTACAGACATTTTAAATTCAAATTTGGACGAAATTACATATTAAAAAACCTAGAATAACTATTTTAGTTATTTTGT